GGGGCCCCTGGGGGTTCTACGGTGCTCCTGAGGGCCTTGAAAAAGCCCTTGGGGCCCCTCAAGGCCCTCAGGAGCCCTTGGGGCCCTCTAGAGGCCATGTGGGGCCCCTGGGGGCCCTGTGGGGCCCCTGGGGGCTCTGGGGGCCCCACAGGAGCCCCACGGGGGGCCCTGTGGGGCCCCCCTAAGTGCCCTTTGGAGGGGCCCCCGGGGGGGCCCCCCGAGGGGCCCCTGAGGGCCCCAGCCATGCAGCAAGACGGGCGAGAGGTGAGGGGAAACGGAAGGCGAAAAGACAAAACAGCAGCAAGTCCCTTATGCTGCTGCTGCAGCACTGCAGCAGCAGCCACACGGGGGAGTCCCAGCAGCAGCGAATGACGCTGGGCGGCTCCACCGCCGAAACAGCAGCAGCAACAGCAGCAGCTGCAACGCCAGGAGGAGAGGCCAAATTCAGCAGTAGCTCTGCTCGCCACAAGCACCCAGCAGCAGCAGCAGCACAAGTAGCAGCAGCAGCAGCAGCATGCACCGACTGCGCAGTGAGCTAGGCCCACTGCTGCTCTCTTTGCTTCTGCTGCTGCTGCTGCTGCTGCTCTGTTTGCTGCTCGCTTACCGCTTTGGCTGTCAAGCACTTGCTGCTGCACAGCCCCTTGAGGCCTTTGGCTTTTGGCAGCAAGTGGCTTCCGCGAGAAGAGAGCTGTAGCTGCTGCGCCAGGTGCTGCAGCAGCAAAGCAGCAGACAGCCCCCAGCAGCCTTTGCAGAGCTCAGTGCTGCTGTCTTGCTGCTGCTGCTGCTGCTGCCAGTACCTGTGCTGCTCCGTCTGCAGCAGCAGCAGCCCCTCTGGCTCATTTTTTGTGCCCTTACGGGGCCCCTTAAGAACCCTTGCTGCACAGAGAGGGCCCCCAGGGGCCCCTAAAACTGGACCAGGGGGGCCCCCTAGGGGGCCCCCCAAAGGGGGCTACAGGGGGCCCCCTAGGGGCCCCCAGGGGGGCCCCTAGGGGCCCCTGCGAAGTGCATAGACCTACCTACGCAAACGACGCGGACATTGGTGCCGCGGAGCTCGCTGCTGAGGCCCGTTGCTGCTGCTGCTGCTGCTGCTTTTGTTGCTGCGTAGATGGCCTGCCCGGGGGGAGCTGCAGCAGCAACAGCAGAAGTGATGAAGATAATGCGGCTGGGCAGAGACAAAGAAATGCCAAAGAAAGAAGACAGACAGTCCAGCAGCACGCTGCTGACCCCCGGCGAACCTCCAGTTGCTGCTGCTGCTGCTGCTGTTGGTGCTGCCGCTTCAGCAGCAGCAGCGG